GTCTCCATGGTCTCCATGGTCTCCATGGTCTCCATGGTCTCCATGGTTTCCACGGCCTTTGGTTGAGTTCCGAGGAGGCTTCAGGTTTCTGCTCTGAGTTCCTATCCTGACTTTGCTGTAAGTCCCTTTCTAATGGAAGGTGCTTTTGTTTATGATGATTATCGCAAGCCAGATAGAAAGCAAACCAAGACAGTTATCGTAAATGTGATAGCTTATACTCACACAACCCCAGAGAGGAAATATACACTAAACCATAGCAAGGGAGAGCTGCATCTGGAAGCTTCAGGATTAGTGATCACAAGGCAAGGGGACAGAGAGGCTCTGTGCGGAAGAGCTTCTATTTTGGTATCTGGGAGGAAAAGAATAGATGAGAAAGGGTCAACATATTTTGGATTGGATAATTTGAATATTTTCAGATGACCTTGGATTTGTATTTAGGAGTGTAGTATCTGACCATGTGGTGACTGGGACAGGTGTATACTAGTCCAGAGAATGAACAGCTAATAAAATGTTTAGAGAGTAGATATATTTAACCACCTTGCTCAGAAATGGGAAGAGTGTGTATTATAGGCAAGGACTTGAAACTGTATCAAAAAGCAACTAAAACTATATTACCGTAAGCGTACAGAATATTTCCCTGGGGTACCAGACCTCAACAATCACAAACCTTTGTAAAAACTTTGCTGATGGCTATATTTCAATATAATTATATTCTTGTCTAACTCCTTCTATATTGTATTACGAATATTAGAATTAGTCTTAGAAGACAATGGTCCATGTGTGGATTTTCTACATAATTCCTACATTGCCTTGACACTTCATGCCTCTCACAATTTGTCTCTCCTAAACTGCCCTATTTTAGTCTACGAATGTCCTTTTTCTTTCATAGTTCCTTGTGTCTCCCCACAGTTCACTGTTTCCCATAGATCCCTGGCTGACCCACTATTTTCTCTATTTCAGAATTCCTTTCCCTCAGTACTTTCACAATTCTGCCCTCTGTCTCATAACTTTTCATGCACTGACACTTCTGCATTCTAATACAAAACGTCACTTTCTTTGTTTCCCATTCTCTCTCTTAGGTCTGTACTCCAGTACTACTGTATTATTTTCCATAATTGCCTACCTTCACTGTCCTTCCTTAATAGGTCCTCCTTATTCCATTGTCAACTCTGCATTCCTGTCAGCTTCTCAAGGCTCTCACTATTCTTTGTCTATTGTATTTCCCTAACCTGCCCACAGTTGTGTCTTTTCTAAAATGTTCCATGCCTCTTAAAACTTGCTTTCTTTCTTTTAAGAATGTATTTACTTTAGTTATGTATTGTCTTTCTTGTTGTGTGGCTATGTGCATATGAGTGAAGCTGCCTGAGGAGACTAGAGAGAGTGTTGATCCCTGGAGCTGGAATGACAGGCATATGTGAGCTACCTGTTGTTAAAGGATATTTGAACCTGTTTCTAGTTAGGGTATGGTTCAGCCTTTAGCACACACATTTAATCCCTCTGGCTGGAATATAGACATGCCCTTAGTATATATATTTAATCCCAAACAGTGAAGGTAAAGTTAGTTTGTAGAAGGAAGCACCCATGTTTTAAAGTAATGTCTAATTGAGTGGCAGAAAAAGTGACACATTAGAGAAAGATTTGACAGAATGGAATATGCCCAACTCTTAAGAGAACAGACAGGAAAAGGGAAGCTCCTTAAGGGAGAGACAGACCGTACAGGAGGGAGAGACTGACAGTACAGGAAGAAGAGTGCAGTACAGTTTATGCAAAGCTGGACAGTAGAATTGAGCAAAGTAGAGCATCACAGAGAGGGAGAAGGAGGCAGTTTTACCAGGAGAGTTTTACATAGACAGGTTGAAAAGAGAACAAGCTAGACACAGGTAAAGACAGAACGAGCAAGAGATTGAGAAGGAGCCAGAAGATTAGAGCGTTGCCAGAGTTCACTTGAGGCCAAGCAGAGCAAAACATCAGTGGCTGAGAAAAAGAAACCGGACTGAATCAGTCAGCTTGTTTGAGCCAGAACAGCTGAGTTGAACCAGCCAGCCAGAAATCAGAAAGAACTAGAAAGAGTGAATTTATTCAACAGTAAGTCTCAGAGGCTGAAAACATTCTAGGCTTAGATTAGATTGTATGGAGGCTAGAAGCTTCCAGGAGTAGACATGGGTTAGTAGATAGGCACAGTAAGCCATGGAGATGACATTTACTTCAGGCAAATAAAAGTTATACTTCAAGCTGTTGTGGATGCTAGAAACAAAAGTTGGGTCTTCTGTAAAAGCTATAAGTGCTCTAGCTGTTAAATCATTTCCCCAGCCATTTTCCTAATTCTTTTCTTTCTTTTTTTTTTCTTTTTTCTTTTGAGACAGGGTTTCTCTGGGTAGATCTGGCTGTCCTGGAACCCACTCTGTAGACCAGGCTGGCCTCAAACTCAGAAAGAAACCTGCCTCTGCCTCCCAAGTGCTGGGATTAAAGGCATACACCACCACTGCCCGGCCATTTTCCTGATTCTTAATTCTCTTGCCAGAATTACATTTTCATCTACAATTTCTCATTCTTTCTCTGATAGTCTGTTCTTTTACAATATTCAGTGCTCGTCACTATTTTCTCTCTTTCAACTCTTTTTTTTGTAGTTTTTTTTCATAGTTTCTCTGCTTCTTACATAGTCTTTATCCTTTCTCATAATTCCCTGTCTTCTAGGTGTTTTTAAGCCATATATTTAATTAAAATAAAGTTGCATCACTTTTCCACCTCCCTTTCCTTCTCCCTGCCCCTTCCAGTTTCTCCAAGCCCTCTCATACCCTGAATCTCAGATTGATAGCTTCTTTTTCTTATTGTTACATTCATATATGTATGTTACATATACATACATTGTATTATATGTATATATGGATATGTGTACATATATATGTAGGTATATGTATATATGGAAATTCATAAATACAACCTGCTGAGTCTATTTTTGTTTTTTAAGTGTATATGACTTCAGAGCTAACAACTTTGTATGAGATAACCAGTAGGAACCTTATGCCACTCTCCTATAGTCATTAGTTGCCTATAATTCTTTGTCAAGGGTGGGACCCATTCCATGTTAACGTAATTATTGCTATTGCCGTTGGTCCATTGTTTAAGTCTTGTTTATAAAGACATTTCTAGGAGAAAGGGTTCACAGCAGACTTCCTAGTATTCTGGATCTTAAAATGTTATGCCACCTCTTCAGTGATATTCTCTGATCCATACAGGAGCTGTGATGTAGATTTGTCAGTCTCAGGCTCACCAAAATCCATTGATCTCTGCATTGTGTCTAGTTGTAGTTTTCTGTGATGGTCTGCATTTGCTGTAAAGAGAGGCTTCTTTGAGAATAAGTGGTTGCTGTACTCATTTGTGGGTAAAAGGATATTCCAATGTAGTAAGGACTTAGTTGTAAATGTAACTTTTATTCTCCTGTATTAATTGTCATCTCTGAGGCTTACTGCCTCAATCTCTTAATCTAGATCTAGTCCTGGAAGCTTCTAGCCTCCACACAATATAATCTAGGCCTAGAATGTTTTCAGCATCTGAGACTTGCTACTGAATAAGCTCACTCTTTCCTAGTTCTTTCTGAACTCTGGCTGGCTGGTTTAATGCAACTGTTCTGGCTTAAACTCCTCTCCCAGCTGACTGGTTCAATCTGGCTTCTCCTTTATCCTCTGACTGAATTGCCCTGCTTAGCCTCATACTATGACAATATGTTCTAATCTTTTGGCTCCTTTTTATTCCTTGGCTCATTCTGTCATCACCTGTGTCTAGCATGTTCTCTACCTGCCACCTGTCTCTCTGTAACTGTCCCTGTAAAACTGCCTCTTCTTTGTTTCTCTCTCTCTCTCTCTCTCTCTCTCTCTCTCTCTCTCTCTCTCTCTCTCTCTCTCT